TACTTGAGGGATGAAGGGAGCTCAGCTTTCCCTGCAGCACCTGTGACGAGTCTTCAGCCTCTGGCTGACATTCACCTGTGTTGCTGGAACTTTCAGAAATGCCGCGGGCCTCCGGGAGACGGAGCCAGCTGGTCCTTAGAAAATCACTAGCTGCGCCAGAAACCCAAAGACGGGAAATGTTCAGAACGGGCACCTGGCATGAATGAGAGTCCTTACTGATAAACCAGCTGGCTTAAAATGGGTCCAGGCTGTGGGAAGCCGGCCTGTCCTTCTTTGACAGAGAAGCAATTATGAGAAAGGGGTCTCTTGGTTCTGCATTGGTTTTCACAGAAAACTGTCTTATGCCTGAATGCCAGTCCTATTTTTCTCTGACACAAAGTCCTTTAAAAAAATGTACGAAGTCAGATCGTGTTTGGATGCCCAAGATAAGGAAGTAGCCTGTTTTATGACAATTAAGATCTTAATGGGTAGACGAAGGCCTGAGGGTACACTTCCATTACCTACACACAAAACTGCCACAAACATTCTCTCTACTGTTATGAATGTCTGCTGCCAGCTTATCTCATTGTTTAATATGTGCTAAGAAACTGACTTTCTAGGATAATCTTGTGAATCTGTTTACATGCTGCCAGCATCCTGACCTATTCTTTAGTGTGTGTGCTTACACGGGTGTCATGGAGCTTTTTCTCTATTTTAAACTGAGCCTTCTTTTTTAATCTATTCCTGAGAAGATATGTAAATAAGCTCTCAGAGTTTATGTGGTGATTTGCTGAGCCTTGCCGGACAAGTGGTTTGTTCCTGGGCAAACCAAATTTCTTCACTCAGTGCAATATATTTGTGTGACTGCTTGTGTCTTTTTATGACTTTTTTGCCTTTTAGAAAATGGATAAATAAAGCAGGTATATTTTTTATTTTCCATTGTATGTTCTGTTTCCTGGGGCCCTGCCAGAGCTAACCTCGACCCCTGTACATCTTCCTAATATAACACACCAAAAACTGGAGAGAGATGAGATTATCAAAGGATTATTATTTTTGTACAGAACCCTAAAAATTCTCTTGTACAATTTCCTTTTTGTTGTGTGTGTGTGTGTGTCACACGGGGGCCCCTAGCCTGGTTTATAACAGTCCACAGGACTGAACTCTGTAATGCAGCTCCAGCCATGCATGCTTTTCATTTTTCATGCAGTCTTTTCACTTGCAAATGCAGAGTTGGGGCTGCTTGGCTCCTCCTAGACCCCTTTCCCCCACTCCCCTGATCCAAGCACCCATCTCTGTCGTCACCCCTGCCTGGGCTGGTCACAGGTTGGAAGGCAGAAGTCAGACAGGGCCAGGAACTTGTAACACTAGCTAGTCTGGAAGCTGAGATCTGAGGATCACCATTCAAAGCCAGCCCTCAGTCTCTTACCTCCAATTGAAAGACCAATAAAGACAGAAGTGGAGCTGTGGCTCAAGTGGTAGAGCGCTAGCCTTGAGCAAAAAAAGCTCAGGGAGGGGCTAGGAAGGTGGCTCAGTGGTAGAGTGCTTGCCTTGCATGCCTGAGGCCCTGTGTTCAATTCCTCAGCACCACATAAGCAAAAGAAAAAAGCCGGAAGTGGTGCTGTGGCTCAAGTGGTAGAGCTCTAGCCTTGAGCTGAAGAGCTGAGGGACAGCGCCCAGGCCCAGAGTTCAAGCCCCAGGACCTGCAGAAAGGGGGATGGGGTGGGGGGGCTATGTCCACTCTGGAGACAAGACAAGCACACAAAAGTCTTAGGAGACCTGCCTTCTACCTGGAGAAGTCCACTCCCTTTCCCTCCCACTTTGCGAAGCAGGGCCCGAAAAACTGGACTAGAGAAAGGGATGAAGGGAGGCTAGGCCCAATGCCCCGCCTCCAGGGAGCTGTGCAGCCTAACTGCTGAAGAGGGGAGGACCTGAGGTAGAATTCTGGCTAGTGTGGCAGCTCCAGCCAACTTCCGGGTACCTTTGGAGGACCCTGGTATTTTTCTTTATAACCCCAAGAGTACCTCCTCTGCCTTATCTCCAAACCAAAAGGAGATTCTCCAGGCTCCCTGGGCAGATTGCCCACAAGGGGCCTGGATGTCTGCAGGCTGGCTACTGCCTTTGTTTCCTTGGGGATTTATGGCCTTCCACTCCTGCTAACAGGTCCCCTGTGGCCATTCTGGCCCAGTCTCCTGGGCTCTGTTGCTGTCTGGGGGAGGGGGGTGGCTGAGGGAGGAGTCAAAGGTCCCAAATGCTCAGGAAGTCTGTGCCCAGACAATGCCCTCATTTTCAAGGAGCAAATGGCAGGAAGTGAGTAGGCTAAGAGAGGTGGAAAGGAGAGAGGGAGGGCTTGGTCCCAACATGGGGAAACCAGGCTTTCTGGACCCAAAGTCTAAGCCACCAATATGACCTGTAAAGCCACTAAAGGATGCTGAGTGTGCAGATGGCATCTCAGGCAACTTTCATGGAGTCTGTTTGTGTGAGAAAGGATTTTCTGGTCCACACCTGCTCTATGCCCATGCTTTTCCCTCTCAGCCGTACCTGATGACACAGGCACGTTCCATAGCAGTTTCTTTTTCCTTCAATGCTAGGTAGTATTGAGCACCCCACCCCACCGACCCGGCCCTGGATCACTGTGTCCCACAAGCCTTTTGAGGTCCCTCACCCTTCTTTCAGCAAAACTCCCTCTCCCAATTCCTGTTGTCTGGGTGTTTATAGAATCAGCTTTGCATGGCGTTCTGTAACTTTCCCTACCTTCTCTACGGGTGGATGCTGAAGCTCGAACTCAGTATTCATTATTAGGTTCTGAGACAAACGTAGAGTGCTCACTACACATTTGGGAGGTACCTCCTTTTCCTGGAGTTCCTCCTTGCCTTTCTCTCTTTTTTCCTTGCAGCGATGGTCCCTGGCAAGCCCCTCTTTCCCACCCTCCCACCAGCTATTTCTCCAGGCTTCCCCGGGACCCTCATCTTGCTGCACTGAGACGACTTCTTGTCACCAAGGGCACTGTGGGTCATGTGTGGCCTCGTCCACGGTGGGTCACAGATCACCAAGGGCACTGTGGGTCATGTGTGGCCTCGCCCATGGTGGGCAGTGGATCACCAAGGGCACTGTGGGTCATGTGTGACCTCGTCCACGGTGGGAAGTGGATCACCAAGGGCACTGTGGATCATGTGTAGTCTCCTCCACGGTGGGCAGTGGATCACCAAGGGCACTGTGGGTCATGTATAGTCTCCTCCATGGTGGGTCACGGATCACCAAGGGCACTGTGGGTCATGTGTGACCTCGTCCACGGTGGGAAGTGGATCACCAAGGGCACTGTGGGTCATGTATAGTCTCCTCCACGGTGGGTCACGGATCACCAAGGGCACTGTGGGTCATGTGTGACCTCGTCCACGGTGGGCAGTGGATCACCAAGGGCACTGTGGGTCATGTGTGACCTCGTCCACGGTGGGCAGTGGATCACCAAGGGCACTGTGGGTCATGTATAGTCTCCTCCACGGTGGGTCACGGATCACCAAGGGCACTGTGGGCCATGTGTGGCCTCCATGAGCGGCAATGGAAGGAGTTGGACAGGGTTTGCGGACGGGAGTCAGACATGCCGCCGGCCCGGTCGCTCCCTGACTCCCGGAGTGAGGCCCCCACGGTCCCCGGGGGCTCAGGCCTGGGACCGGACGGCGTCTCCACGGCCGGGCGGCAGGTGGTTGGCCCTTGGCCGGCGACCCCGCAGCCTCGAGGCGCCGGCCCGTGGGGCCCCGTGCAGCCGGGCGCGGGGTGCCCCCCCCCCCCCGGTCCAGGCCTCTCGGCGCCCCCGCGGCGAGGCGGGGCCGGCAGATGGCGGCGGGGCCCGCGGGGCGTCCGGGCGACCCAGGCGCGCCCGCCGTCGCCGGGACAAAGGCGCGGGGACAAAGGCGCGGCCGACACCTGTCGCTCTTGGCGGGCCGCCGCTTTTCCGCGCCGGGCAGCGGCAGCTGCCAACTGTCACGGGCATCAAGTTACGGGGGCCAGACGGCCGCTCGGCGGGCCGGCGCGGGGGGGGGGAGGCGGAGGGGGAGAGGGGAGGGAGGAGGGGGGGAGAGGGGGTTGAGGAGGGCGGGGGGGACGGATGGGGGAGGACGGAGGGGGGTGAGGAGGGCGGGGGGGACGGAGGGGGGAGGACGGAGGGGGGTGAGGAGGGCGGGGGGGGACGGAGGGGGGAGGAGGGCGGGGGGGGGGAAGGGAGGCGCCGGGGAAGGACTGAGGGGAAATGAGGGGTGCTCCCGGGGCTCCGGGGCGGGTCTGGCGGGCCGGGGCGCGGGGCTGCGCGGGGCAGTGGCTGGCGGGAGGGGCGCGGGGAAGGTCGGGGGGCGGGGAGGGGCAGTGGGGGACCAGGGAAGAGAGCCTGGAGAAAGTGGGGCTCGGGCGGGGGCCTGGCCGCCCCGAGGATGGCTGCGGCGTCCCCCACCCCCCCGTAGCGCCGGGGCCCGGCACGCGCCCGCCGCCGCTGCCCAGCTGGCCCCAGCCAGGGCGCCCTCCTAGCCCGGGGCCTGGATCGGGTCCGGCTCTGGGGACCGGCGCTGCTGCGATCTCCTTCGGGGACCCCGGGAAGGGCAGGGAAGGGCCTGCAGGGCGCAACCCCGAGGGAGGAAGGGAGGGCAGGCAGGATGGCAGAGTCGTGGACGCGTGGATGGAGGAAGGGACGCTCCAGACACCCCTGCTGCCCGGCAGACCGGGGTTCCTCACTCCGCGCGGGCGAAGCTCGCACGAACGCGGCGGAACCCCAGGTCACAGCCCGGGCGCCGCCCCGCGGGGGAGGCGGGCGGCGACGCCCGGCCCCGGAGGCCCGGCCCCGCCAGCTGCCAGTCCGCGGGGGCGGCGGAGCTAGACAAAGCGCTCCACTCCTATTGGCCACAGCGCTCCTCGCGGCCGGGCCCTCAAGTCCAATAGGCGCATGGAGATGCAAATAAGCTGCTATAAAAGGGGAGGGGCGTCGCGGGCTGGGACGGGCGGCGGAGCGGGGATCCAGGGGCTGCGGCCGGGTAGTGGCGGGGACGCCGGCCCTCGCAGTCCCCGCCGCGCTCCTGGCCGCTCGGACCATGGCTCCGTCTCAGGCGCCTGGCCGGGACCGTGCGGGCCGCGAAGAGGAGGAAGGCTGGGAGGCGCTGGGAGGCCGCAAGGTGCGGGTGCGGGTCGTGGACGGACGGGCGAGTGGGAGGCCGCGCGGGGCCGGGGTTCAGTGGCCCGCTTCCCACAGGCCCGGAAGCCCTTGGTGGAGAAGAAGCGGCGTGCACGGATCAACGAGAGCCTGCAGGAGCTGCGGCTGCTGCTGGCGGGCACCGAGGTGCGCGAGGGCCGGGCTGGCGGGCGGCCCCGCGGACCGTGCGCACGGCGGGGCGTCCCGGGGACCGTGCACGGAGTGGGCATCCGGGAACAGTGCACGGAGCGGGCGTCCCGGGGGACCGTGCACGGAGTGGGCGTCCGGGGGACCGTGTACAGAGTGGGCGTCCGGGGGACCGTGCACGGAGTGGGCATCCGGGAACAGTGCACGGAGTGGGCGTCCCGGGGGACCGTGCACAGAGTGAGCGTCCCGGGGGACCGTGCACGGGGCGGGCGTCCCGGGGGACCGTGCACGGAGTGGGCGTCCCGGGGGACCGTGCACGGAGTGGGCATCCGGGAACTGTGCACGGGGCGGGCGTCCCGGGGGACCGTGCACGTAGTGGGCGTCCCGGGGACCGTGCACGGAGTGGGCATCCTGGAGATTGTGAACGGAGTGGGCGCCCCAGGGACCGTGCACGGGCAGGCGCTCACACCCCGGCCCCGCCCCGCGCAGGTGCAGGCCAAGCTGGAGAACGCCGAGGTGCTGGAGCTGACGGTGCGGCGCGTGCAGGGCGCGCTGCGGGGCCGGGCGCGTGGTGAGTGGCGGCGGGACTCGCGGGCGGGGCTCGGGCGCCCTGGGCGGGTGGGCCCCGGGTTAGCCCTGAGGGGAGGGCTGGGCAGAGCCCACTCACAGTGCCGGCGCGGGCCTCTCCACCCACCCTGGGGCGCAGAGCGGGAGCAGCTGCAGGCGGAGGCCAGCGAGCGCTTCGCGGCCGGCTACATCCGGTGCATGCACGAGGTGCACACGTTCGTGTCCACGTGCCAGGCCATCGACGCCACGGTCTCGGCTGAGCTCCTGAACCACCTGCTGGAGTCCATGCCCCTGCGCGACGGCAGCGGCTTCCGGGACCTGCTGGGGGACGCCACAGCCGCGCCGCCGGGAGCCACCGGGAGACGTGGCTGGCCCGCGGGAGGGGTCCCGGGATCCCCCCTGTCCAGTCCCCCACGTCCCGGGGACGACCTGTACTCTGACCTAGAGGAGGTCTCTGAGGCTGAACTAAGCCGGGCACCTGTGGAGGGGCTGGACTGGGGGCCCACGGCCTTGGGCGGCCTGACTGCAGCACGAATGGCCCAGAGTGTGTGGAGGCCTTGGTGACCTTCCTACCACCCAGAGGTGGGCCTGGCCTTCAAGCTTCCCCTGGAGTTCAGACATGGTGGAGTAGGCCCCAACATATGTCCCAAGTCTGCCCTGCCCCTGCTCCAGTGGATGTCCACTCCTGTCAGGCCCCTGGCCCTGTTCCTTCAGGGAGTCCCTTCGGGGGACTCTACAGCTCTGGCTGGGGGGAAAGCTCCTAGGGCACCAGGGCTCCATTCACTGGTTCCAGCCTTCTCAGACCCCCCCCCCCCAGGGTAGAAGTGGCCCTAATGGTGCTTCTCAGGACCTGAACACTACTGTCCCAGGAAGGGGCTGGGACCTGAGTTTGCCACTTCAGTCTAGAGAGGAGGAGGCAGACACATACTGCAGCGGACCTCCGCCCTGATGCCACACTGTGCGCCTTGTTTGCAGCACGTTTGAGTCTTGCCTATTTTGCTGCCAAAAATTGCTCCAAATGAATTTTTTAAATGTGGGAATTAGCTACCCCTGGTGTCCTGTTAATGTGTCAAAGGTGCTAAGCTAAAACACATCTTCCCATCTGACACAATTTTAATGTCTTAAGAACTCTAACCTTTGTCAGCAAAGTGAGTTAATGCAGACTTCCAAGTTGGGAGGTACTGGATGCCTGGCCTGCTTCTCTCCCCCTCACCCTCCTCAGGGGCACTGGGTGTGCCTTGGAGGACTCCCCTGGGCTTGGGACTTGACCTGATTTCAAACCCCAACACAACCCAAAGCAAAAACAATTGCCCAATCCCTGGTCCACTGTACTAATTTCCCAAGGCAACCACAATAAATGATTATGAACATGGTGGTCTAAAGCAATGCATGTTATTATCTGGAAGCCCACAGGTTACAAGTTCCACAAAGGACCACAGCGCTCAAATGGGTGTCCGCAGGCAGGGCTACATTCCTTTCTGGAAGCTTGAGGGTATTCCACTTCCTTGTTGCTTGAGAGACTACCCCCAGCCTGGGCTGGCTGACGGCCCCTGGTGTCGTCAGCAGAGGTTGCGGCTATCTGCCCTTTCCTCCATCATCTCCTCTTCTCTGGACCCCTCCAGCTAGGCCTCCTTTCTTCTACTTTTTAAAATGGCATCTACTAGTTGCACAAAGGTGTTGCATTTTGACATAACCAATATTTGCTTACAACGTACTACGATCCAATTCATTCTCCATTGCTCTCCCGCCTCTCAACTATATTCTACTTTTAAGGATTAGGCCCACCTGGATAATCCAGGATGTTCTAACTTCAAGGACTTTATTATTGATCACATTGGCCGTCTCTTGCCACATAAAGCAATCTATTCCCAGACTCGGGCTTGGGACCGGGATTGGGGCAGGGCTGACCTAGGACCAGGCACCTCTGCCTTCCATCCTGAGGTGCCAACTTCCCACAGGGATACTGGATCTCATGCTAAGTGACTGCTCCCTCCGCTGCACTGACTTCTTTCTGTCAACCTACAAACAGCCCTAAAAACCTCTATTTGGAAGAAAGTGAGGAAACTCCATAGGCCTGAGGTACCCAGTCTGCCTGTGTCCTCTATTCAAAAGCACAACTTCTCAGAAGCGTAGACACTATGTGTACCTCACTGTCCATTCCTGTCCAGTCAGCTGCTGCCCCAGCTCTTCACTGAAAACAAGGTCGAGATCTTCAGTGGCAAAAGCTGGGCTTGGTGGTAGACTCTGCAATGCCAGTACTTGAGAGACAAGACTGGATAATCATGAATTTGAATCTCGGTGATAAAATGAGACCATGTCTCAAAAAGGATAGAGAGCCGGGTGCCGGTGGCTCCACCTGCAATCCCAGCTACTCAGGAGGCTGAGATCTGAGGATCTTGGTTCAAAGCCAGCCCAGGCAGGAAGTCCATGAGACTCTGATCTCCAATAAACCACTAGAAAACCAGAAGTGGCACTGTGGCTCGAGGTAGAGTGCTCGCCTTGAGCTGAAGAGCTGAGGGACAGCACCCAGGCCCAGAGTTCAAGCCCCATGACTGACAAAAAAAAAAAGGAAAAGAGAAAAAAGAGAGGGAAAGAAATAGCTCTACTTTTGACTTCCTTAGTTTCTCCTGGGTTATCATGTGCACTCATGCACACACATGCCAATCTGGAAAGTTCTTTAAGTTCTGCAGGGCACATACTCCCCATTGTCCCAGCTTGCCGACTACCTGCGCCTCCTAGTGGATACTCTTCTCATCTGACCTGAATGTTCCTAGGTTAGTCTTGGGGCTCTGACCTCAACCTTACGGGTTGCCTTCCTTATCTCAATAACCCCATCCATCCACTTGGTCCATGGCTCCTTCTTCAGCCTCTTGTCCACTTGGTGTCTCCACTCAGGAAGCACCGCCAACAGGGCTGGCTCTCCACCCCCGGGGCGCTGCCGCTTCCCCAGCACACCACTTGATACACCCCATGGATTGGTCAAAAAAGTCGTCTTTCTTCTGTCACTTGCAGTCAGTCCAGTGTGAGAGCACGTTTTGTTGTTGTTGTTGTTGTTACTCTGGGGCTTGAACTCAGCCTGGGTGCTGTCCCTGAGCTTCTTTGTGCTCAGTTGAGCGCTCTGCCCCTAGAGCCACAGTGCCACTTCCGGTTTTCTGAGTAGTTTCTTGGAGATAGGAGTCCCACAGACTTTCCTGCCCGGGCTGGCTGGAGCTGCAATCCTCCCACGTGGGCCCAGCGGGGGCTGTGATGGCGGAGCCTGCGCCCAGACGGACCAGGCACGGGGTGGCAGGGGCAAGAAAGCCCGGGCTCAGCCAGTCATTGCTGTCAGTGCAGGGATTTCGGTGTGTCAGGAAGTGACCGGCCACATCGGGGCCTGGCCATTCCCCACTGTGGCCTTCCCGGCTACCCTATGGATCGTCCCGGCCCCATTGCGGCCTCCCAGTGCCCGCCCCACCATTTTCTTCTCCGTCAAACGGCTAATAATCTTAATGTCCTCACCTCCTGCTCACTCGTCACACTTTCAGCAAGGTCACGTTTCCGGCCATTGTCAGGAGAACCACAGCCGGTTCCTGGGGACACCAGCCACCCAGCAGGCCCTGCAGTGTCCACAGCCCTGACGCCGGTCATGGCCTGTGTGTCCTCATCCTAGCAGAGCCCTTCTGTGCTGGGTACCGAGCACTACGAAGCACTGTTTCTTTTCTAGGCCTCTTACCTCCATCCTGTAACTGATCTCCGTGGCTTCATCTATTCTGTTGCTGACTCAAAATCTGCTTTCTCTCATTGACTCTATCCAAAGACCCTTGGTTACACATGTCAGGTTGGGCAAAATTCAGTTCTGAACTTTCCAGAAAAGTCTACCCTTGGAGCAGTAAGAGGAGTTTTCTAGGCACCCACCCAACTGCTGAGCCACACCTCCAGCCCTCTTTTGCACTGATTATTTTTGAGATAGGCTCTTGCTTCCTGCCCACCATGCCCAGTTCATTCCACTGAGATGGCATCTCCTGGACTTGTTAAGCTTGGGATGGCCTAGGACTGTGATCCTCCCAATCCCAGCCCCCCACACTTGGTTTAGGGTGACAGGCATTTGCCACTATGCTCAGCTACTGATTGAGATGAGCTGTAAACTTTGCTGTAACCAAGGAGCCAGAAGTGGAGCTGTGGCTCAAGCTCCGGCCTGAGTACAAAAGTTAAGGGGCAATGCCAAGGCCCTGAGTTCAAGTTCTAGTACTGGCGCACACACACACACACACCTGCTCCCCATTTACAAAGCACCAGAGGCCCAAGTCTCCTGTGGGACCACTCAGAACTCCTTAGCTTTGCCTCTGAACTCCCTCCTCCCCCAGGTGTTCTCACCCCCTCACCAGGTTTTGTTTTACCACATTGTAATGTTTTGCTCTGCTCTTCTTGGCTGGCTTTCAAGGCTGGCTCAGAGAGCATGTCCTGGTTTTCCTCCTCTTCGCATCCCTCACCCCCCAACCCCCACCCCTGGCCTGTGTGTTCCCAAGGCATACTTCTTGGCGTATTATAAATCTTGCTAATACCATAATTGGTGGATGTCTACTCCTTGCCAGATACTATTCTACCTGCTGGAGCTAAAAAAAAAAAAGTCCCTTCTCAAGCTTATGCTGTAATGAGAGGAAACCCTTTTTGTGATAATGTGGGCATGTCTCCATACAAGAAGAAACATCAGTAAGGTCAGGACTCAGGGTGTGGTGTATGGAAGCAGGGTGCAGTTTTGACACAGTTGACTGAGTATACACCGATTAGAATGGCTACATTACAGAAAGGAACAGCAGCAAGTGGGGAGAGGAGCAAAACCAACTCCCCTTCGCTGCTGCTGGCAATGAAAACTGTTACAAATCCTCTGGTACATGGTTTGAAGACTTCTTCTAACCCTAAACACTCACAATAAATCCAACAAATTTATTCCTTGGTATTTATGCAGAGAACAGAAAACACATCTGCACTCTCTCTGCTCTTTTCTAGCTCTTTCTCAGCTCTTTCCTTTTCTTCTCTTTCCCAGCTCCCTTCTCTTTCCTAGCTCTCTCTTTCCCACCTTTCCCAGAAGTTCTCTTTTCTAGCTCTTTTCTCTCTTTCAGCTCTTTCTCTTTCCCAGGCCTTTCCCTACCGTGTACAGGACCAAGATGGCCTGGTGCCAGCCAGAACGATGAATAAGCCTACCCCTTACCTGAATACCACGTGCGTGGTGCTGTTCTTACTCGGCTACCTCTTTTTAAAAAACCTAACATAAATGGTGCCGTGACTCGGATAAAGGGCTTAAAGTCAGGATAGGTGGGATTCCTCTCCGGTTTTTTTTCCTCTTTTTTCTCTTTCTGTTTGTTTTTCCCTTTTTGCTCTGAGGAATACCCACAGTTCTGACGGCCTTTTGCAAACCAGTCTGTCTGCGGCGGACACAGCGCAATGATACTATTGCTGGCCTTCACATCCACATCCACACCACTTCTCTACTCTGGTGAGTGAAACTACTCTACAGTTCTCTGTTGCTCAGTCTCTGTCCAGACATGGTGCCATGCCAGAGAGCTCCTACAGCCTTTAGCTGAAAGGCTGGTCACCTCTGAAGCCAAAGACGCTTGGCTTTGGGGGCTTGGCCATTTCTCTCTAGAGGGCTCTGGGGGAAGTCGGGACGCTGCTTCTGCCTGGTCAGCTCTCCTTCACTCACCAGACTGACTGTCCTACTCATTTAATGGGATGCTACGAATCACGCCTGAGCCGTGAAACCCCTTTGAAATGTCTCCTGTGCTCTCTGGAAAGCCAGAGCGCCTAATTTTATGCCATTCTCAGATGTAGACAGTTTTTGCTACAGCAATGGTAAATGGTCAGAAGTCTGTTTAATTTCAGGCTCTCTTTGCTCTCTCTCTGCCATTCATGTCCAACTTTCTATCCTTTTTTCTACAACTTTTTGGCTTGTGCCTTGAAGAGTACGACGCAGGCTGGGTCCCAGGGATCCCCCTCTAGGTTCCCTGTCAAAGGCTAGCCAATGTAGGCTTGATCTATTTGTTCAAGGTTTCTTTGCATTTTTTCAGAAATTCGCCATCTTGAGTTGGCCATCTTGGCCACATGGTGGGTTAAGGGTTTGGCCCCATCTGGCCCTTAACCTTCCACCAAGCTTACTACTCCATCCAGCTATTCTAAGGTGCCTTGCTAACAAGTTGCTCTTTTCACAGGCTCTGGTAACTGAGGCCCAACTATCTGATGTGCTTTGTTAGCAAAGACGTCTACACATTGTCAAAATTTTAGGTTTTGAGTTTTGCCTTTTTAGTTTTGTGTTATGTATTCTGGTACTGACTACGTGACTCTAAAATATTGTGCATATCTGTGCTAAGATTCTGACATCTAAGAAGTTTTGTCATTCCA